AGAATTCCTTTTGTGGTACAGAGGAGATCTGGTAACCAGAGATGTGGGGGAACAAAGAGATGCAGACTGTGAAACTTGCTTCAGATACTTTTTCACATGGAAAGGGACGAAATGGTGGTAAGTCTACATACTATGACGACTTGATTTATTGAAAAGTATATTTTGTAATGATAGGTGTTGAAAACAAACCTAAGGGTATATGCTTATGACGTAGTCGTAAACATGTGGGTTGACGGGGCAACATATTTTCTACCAGTGGTTTTTGTTTTTTCCCTAGAGAAAGATCGAAAGCTAGTCATATCTGTCAAATTCTATTCCGTGCTTTTGAATAAACCCGTGGACTGACCACATACAGTACACATACATTTTTCTGCAGAAAGTATCAATACGGCAAGGACAGCATAGAACAAATATGCAACTTATATTCTTCTCTATCTATTCAAACCTGTTTTAGCTATCATACAAAAAACACACAATCTTACCAATGACAATTATTCAACCTTGTCAGTCCAACAGATCATATTCCATTTTGGAGAGCATAAAATGAGAATATAAAACAATATTTGGTACAAATATTGGATATAAAAGAAAGGTGCATTACACTGAAAAGTCCATGTTTTTTTTTGTACACTCCACATTTCATCTTACAGATGAAACAGATTCGGAAATTTCTATGCAACTTGCACCACCTCCCTCTCCCTCCAGTGAAGTTTTAAATGATGAAACAGATTCGGAAATTTCTACGCAGCTTGCACCACCTCCCTCTCCCTCCAGTGAAGTTTTAAATGATGCTGGTTCATCAGTTCCCTGCAATATGTCATCGGAAGACTCTTTTTCTACTCCCCCTTTCTTCTACACCTCATCTTCACTTCAGTCTGATATTACTTCATCTGTTCATTCATTACTTCCCCTAACACCTCCCCGCACCCCCAATCAACCCCTCACACAACCCCTCCCTCAACCCCTCTCCTAACCCCTCTCCCAACCCCTCTCCCAACCCCTCCCTCAACCCCTCTCCTAACCCCTCGCTCATCAACTCCTCATTCAACTTCTTCATCTGCTTTGTCTCCTCCTCTCCCTTCCCATCCTCCTAATTCATTTCTTTCAATGTCTGTTGTCCAGCGTCATCCTCGCATTGTAGCTGGATTTCTCATTTCGCTACTCCTGCTTGTTGTCTTTATACATCTTCTGCTTTTAATTTCTGTTATCCTTCTTTGTTAAATGTTCATCATTCATTTTGTAATTTCCCAAATTTCCTCTTCTTTATAATCTGGGAAGATGATCTGAGATGGGCCAACATATGTCAAATGGTAAGATTTATTGAAAAATCATTTGAAAACTTAATTGAGAACAAAAATCATACAGTTGGTAAACATAATCTTCATTGAGGATGTAGTTTTCAATGCACAATTCAAACCCTGCATTGGATTTCCTGCTTTCTTTGCTCATTCTAGAATAATATAACACTGCATACATGTTTGGTCCGTTTGATATGAATTCAGGTTTGTGCTAGTAGCCACTTTTTATATTGTAATCTTTATTTGCTTTTTGGAGCTACGTTCCACTTTTAAAGATTAGATAGATTATTTTCTTCTTTCCCCCCTCATTCTACACGTCTGTTCTTGTTTATCATAATGCTTTTTTTCCTTTTTCCCATGCTATTTTTTAATCTTTCCTCATCTCTCCCTCCCTTCTTCTCCTTGGACTCATCTTTCTTCTCCGCATGTTCCTTCTCCCCTGCCGAAGCCTTCTTCCATCTCTCCCACCCGGTGTAAACATCTTGTGGATAGATATGTCCGAAATTGTACATTTTCCCTTTAGTCTGTTGCCTCTCCTTGCCCTTTCCCCAATTTGGTCGCTTCTCTCTCTTTTTTGTTATTTTTGTTATACCATGTAATGTCTTTGGCTCTCGTATTTCAGAGGGTCTTGAGAGGATATATTTTGTTCGCAATGCTGTTGCCCGTGGCTTGTAGGGCGTGTCGTTATTCGACCTGTGTGTTTTTTTTGTTTTTTTTTGTTATTTGTATTTATATTGAAAAAATCTTCCACGGTTAGTTCGTCGTCTTTTTTCGCCTCGGTACTCTTGTCTGATGCACGGTGACATTTTGTAGCATTACAATTTTAAGGCAAATCTTGTTTTATGAAAAGTAAACATATGCATGTTTAATGTTCATGATATTGGTTATGATTTCCAATGCCTACATGTAATGTTACCTATTTGTTTCCTATGTTACTTGTATTTCAAATTTCCTCCTAAAATTAACCATGCGTTAACAAAAATCATGACTGTAACGATTCTTCTTTGAGTGATACCCTACTTGAAAAGTAACAGTTAATCAAATAATATCTGACAACAGAGAAAACCTAAAGTGAAATCACAAATTGTAACCCACATATACTTGTATGTTTCAGTGATTCATTGTAATTTTAAACATTGATGAATCTAATGTTTTCATTTTTTTTCAATTTCATTTCCAGTAGGGATGCATCAGTCGAACCAACTAAACAACAACTGGGACGACTCGTCAACCATGGTTGGAGGGGTGAAGTCAACAGCAGAATGAAGATTAGAGAGAACCCTCACAATGAACCAGAACTGGTTCTCTTCTCATTGAAGAAAATCAAAGAAGGTGAAGAAGTGTTATATGATTATGGGGTGGGAGATAATTTTGTATTCCCAAGTCCTACTCAATTACACAGTGGAGTCCAAGATGAAAAACCTGAAATTCTGCAAAATTCTGCAAACCTCCCACCAGACCCAGAAAAAGTTTGTTCACCATTCTCCGAGCCTGCCACACAAGAACTAGTGGAACCAGATGGAAACTTTTCACAGTCCAATGTTCGAGCTGATGATGATGAAACATCTGAAGATCGATGCAGAAACCCCCCTAATAACGAAACAAATTGGGAACCATCCCCTAAGCCTGCCACACAAGCTTTAATGGAATCAGATGGTAAGATTTCACAGTTCAGTGTTTCAGCTGATAATGATGACACATGTGATGATCCATGCCGGAACCCCTCTAATAACCAAGAACATTGGGAACCATCCCCTGAGCCTGCCACACAAGCGTTAATGGAATCAGATGGAAAGCTCTCCCAGTTTGATGTTCCAGTTGATAATGATGACACATGTGATGATCCATGCATAAACCCCCCTAATAACCAAGTGCATTGGGAATCATTTACTGAGCTTGCCACACAACCTTTAATAGAACCAGATGGAAACCTTCCACTCTCCAATGTTCTAACTGATGATGCTGAAACATCTGATGATCTATGCAGAAACCCCCCTAATAACGAAACAAATTGGGAACCATCCCCTGAGCCTGCCACACAAGCTTTAATGGAATCAGATGGAAAGATTTCACAGTTTAATGTTTCAGCTGATAATGTTGACACATGTGATGATCCATGCATAAACCCCCCTAATAACCAAGTGCATTGGGAACCATTTACTGAGCTTGCCACACAACCTTTAATGGAACCAGATAGAAACCTTTCACTGTCCAATTTTCTTGCTGATAATGATGACACATCTGATGATCTATGCAGAAACCCCCCTAATAACCGAGAGCACTGGGAACCATTCCCTGAGCCTGCCACACAAGCATTGATGGTACCAGATGGAACCCTTTCACAAAATATTTTTTCAAGTGATAATGAGGACACATTATCTGACCATAATGATGATAGTGATGATGATCCAGACTATGTCTGTGATTCTCAAGGAGATTCTGACTCTTCAGGGAAGACTTCATTAAATAATTCTCAAGCATCATTGCCTAAGGCTAAATGTACATCAATAAATGGCATCACTCGATCACTGAAATCTCTGTCATCAGATCAGTCATTGGAGGCATCATCAAGATATGGAGGCATTGATGCTGACCATGAGGGGATAACTGTGATGAAGACCAACAATCAAGGAGGGCGAAAATATGACAAGGTAGCTTATTGCATGATGTGTGAGAAGCCCCACAAAAAACTTCCTGATCACCTGCGGTCACAACATTCCAATGAAATAAAGGTGGCTCAATACATGGCAGCAACGAATCGAAAAGAAAAGGATAAGCTATTGACATTGATAAGAAATAAAGGAAATCACATGCACAACTACAGGGTCTTCGAAAAGGGTCATGGAGAGCTTGTGGTCGTATATAGACCTTCTTGTGAAGCAAAGCCCCGTGATTATCAGCCTTGCAAAGATTGTTTGGGATGGTTTGCGAAAGCCGAATTGTGGAAACACCGCTGCATTTTGAAGCAAGAAGAGCCGGCTAAGGAGCAAAAGAAAAAACGAAGAAGACTATTAGCACAAGGTCGACTCTTGCTTCCACCAGTGCCCTGCACATCAAGAGATTCTATAACACACAAAGTACTGAGTGGTCTCAGCGATGATGAAATCAAGGCCTGCATTCTAAATGATCAGTTGATTCTAGAATTGGCCAAGGTGTACTCTAAGAAATTGGGCCATGACGAAGAACAGCACAACCACATCAGATGCAAGTTACGAGAACTAGGAAGACTTGTACTTCAGTTTAGACGTTGCAGCTGCAATGGCAAGGCAAGTCTGACTTCCCTGATATCACCAAATGGTTTTATGACTGTCTTGAGTGCTGTCAAGAAAGTGGCAGGCTTTGATGAGGAGAACCACTTGTTCAATACACCAAGTCTAGCACTTAAGCTGGGACATACCTTAAGAAAGGCTGCCTTTGTGCTCCTGAGTAAGGCTTTGATGGACAGAGATGGGGATGACATGCAGAAACTTGTAGAAAAGTTCATCAAGCTGCTGGACACTTGTTGGGGATCTGAAATCTCTACTCATGCTCTACGAACTTTGTACCAGAGGAAACGAAACCAGCCCAAACTCCTACCCCTAACGAGTGATGTTGTGGCTTTGTCAAGACACCTAGAGGTACAGGCTGAACTTTGTGTAGACAAACTGTCATCTGGGACCGCAATCGAAAACCATAGCACATGGAGAGAACTCAACAAGACCATGCTAGCTCATCTCATTGTGTTTAATAGGAGGAGACAAGGGGAAATCAGCAAGATGACTCTTGATGACTACAATAAAATCAAGAAAGGTGAATCTCATATGGTGGAAGGACAACTAGAGATGCTGAAAGACTGGGAAAAAAATCTTGTAAAGTTTCTCTGGAGAGTTGAGGTAGTAGGAAAACGTGGCAGGACAGTGCCGATCCTTGTGACAGACTCCATGAAATCATGTGTAGACACCCTTGTATCCCACAGGGAGGAAGCAGGTGTAAACCCAAGCAACAAATACCTGTTCGCTGTAGCCAATAGTGACACTACATCTCATGTTCGAGGGTCAGATGCTCTCCGTGAGCTGTCAGAAGCATGTGGAGCACAAAATCCTTCAACACTTCGATCCACAAAATTACGGAAGCATGTAGCTACCATGTCACAACTAATGAGCTTGAGGGACCATGAGATGGACGCCTTAGCAAACTTCATGGGCCACGATATTAGGATACATAGGGAGTATTATAGACTGCCAGATGCTGCTATGCAGGTGGCCAAAATATCAAAGATCCTGTTCGCCATGGAGGGAAAAGCTGGGAACCCGGTCCAGCTGATTGGCACTGCAAAAAGTCTGGATGAGCTTCAAATCAAGTTAGATGAAGGTAAATTTGTGATGAGGGTAGAATTATACAGTGGGGATCTCAATCCAAACCCTAATGAGATGAGAAACATCATGGCGAGGGATGAGTGGGATGAATAACAAACCATGTAGCATGTACTCATTTTAAGAATCAAGTATTTCTGATTTCCACTCAACTTGACAATTATCAAATACAAAATATGTAAATTGATAAACATGCTGCAACATTATTGAATTAATGAAAAGTGTTGTTTTCAAATGAACCATGCAGTTAAATATTCCTCACTATATTGTTCACTTGTTTATTTCAATTTATTTAGATTAGGGGTAATTTAAGGCATTTGTTTGACTCGATCCACACATGTGGCATATACCTGCTGCCAATTCTACCATGTTGTATTTAGAAATAATTGATTATATTCTTTTGTTTTAAATTACAAGTATGTTTTCTTTGCAGTTGACCCAGATTTTCTTTTTGGTGAATATTATTGATTATTATTTTATGTACAGAGATCGACACTGGAGAACAGGGACCTGAATCATGTGATGACAATTGTGACAGCGATGTTGATTCTGGTGATCATGATGTCGAACGTCAGCTACCTGGATGCTCCCAAAAAGGTATGACTTTAAGTCCAATGAGAGCATCTAAAAAATTTCTTTTTGCAAACCTAAATGTTAATTTTGCCTATTGTACCGCACTCTCAATCATCCTCAAAAGCCAAAGTGAAACCAAACTTTTTCCTGTTGAAATCACCACGTACGAATATTTGTGCATTTTGAATTGTTAAAAATTATAGCACAATTATAATTGTAATGTAGCCTCACAAAAAGGCTGTTGCCAATGACGGAGAAAATCTATTAGTGAATTTAATTGGTCTCTATATCTAAACTTCTCTAAACTAAAAAAAAATTGTGTACATACAATAATATAGACTCAGAAAGTATTATGTGATCGTGGCCCTTTTGTTCTAGACTGGGAGTCAGGGGTTGTCAAGGTAATACAAAATGTACTTTTTTCATGCACACAGCAATCACTACAATATACTAGGAAATGGATGAAAATGGAGGCAGCCAGGAGCCCCTCCCAAATAAACCCAAAACTGAGCTAGATTAGCAAAATAAATGACCAATAGAAACCGGGTAGAATATGTGAAACATAACCCCATCTGTCATGACACTGTCAGATAATTTAAAGACTTGTTTGTGCCCGACTCCCCTAAACGGTAGATGCCCATAATTTCACGAAATATGAGCTTTACAAAATTATATGATGGCTTTCTTCCCGCAAAAAAAAATCGTTTAAGTGTATTCCTCCCAGGATCACACTCTATTCTGCATCACTGCAAAAGAGGATTTAAATATTCTTCCTCTCCTTCCATCCTCATAACAGTAATGCACTCTTCAAGTTCATGGGTCAGAGACTCAGAGAAACAGTATGTGATACTGCATTTATTATTCTGCATAGTATAATTGCAACATTCTTATTGTCTTTCATTAGGTACCAAAAGGCAAAGGAAAACGCAACATGTACTGGAAGAGGTTGATGAACAGCCAATAAGGAAGAAACGAAAGACAGCATGGAGCGATGCGGAAAAGTCGGCTGTCCAGAGACGTTTAGGAGCCTTTATGACTGTTCATTCTAAGCTACCTGGCAAGAGAGTGATAGACGAATGCTTGAAAGCTGAAGCTGTGCTGAAACACAGAACGTGGGTCAACATCAAAGACTACGTAAGAAACTCGAAGGTTACCAAAAGCAGAAAAACACAGCCTTGGTAAAAACATTCCCTTTAATATCAAATCACCATTTTTATATTGAATACACACATGCTTTTGTTTTGAGTCACCAAACTGCTGAAAATGCTCATAAATTACAAGGCATGTTCTTGTTATTACAGTCTAAAATGTGTATTCTTTTATATTTGGTTTCTCCATGTATTCATAAAATGTTTACCCACTCTACTGGCAAAGGATTTGTTATTTTGAGGTTTTATTATCATTTTTGTAGGCATCCGGCAATTTGTAATTGTGTTAGGGTCTTAGTGGACCTATGCTTGGCCACTCCCAGATATCAATGACAGGGAGCATATCGTTTAGGCAACATGTACTGATTACAATGAGAATTTTGCAGCATGAGTTGGAAATATCCTATTTGAACAAGAAAAAAACCCATAGATTTTTTAACGAAATAAATCAGTGGAAGTTGTAATCAAACAGTCAAGTATTTGTATTTACATACCATAATGGCAGCATAAGAAGGCAGTAGGGGAATTGACTAGTGTAATGCTTGTACATTTGTGACACAATTAAAACTTAAACAACATTTATTATGAGAACACGTTCAGTATAGTGTATTAATATCATCATCAAGGGAGAGTGCCCTTATTATGTGTAAAGGGTGCCCCTTTTCATTTTGGACAGAACTTGTGTTGTTTCTGATATTATTATGGGGTTGTACTAAACACTCGGGTCGCGGCGCGCTGAAAAACACTCGGGTCACGGCTCGTTTGGCCATCTTTTTTTAAGTGTCTTCAAATCGGCTTTTTAATATAAGGGGGAAATCTTATTTCAAATTAGCGACTGTTTTTACACTCGGGTCGCGGCTCGCTGGGCCATTTTTTCAATGATGTCTTCAAAGGGGATGCGTGGGGAAATTTACTTTAAAAACGAAGTTGTAAGCTGTGATTGTTTTTTGTTCAATGATAGACAAATAAGAAGATTATAATTAAGGCTGACATCGGGAAAGACAAATATACTAGGTGGGTAAAGTGGATTTTAGATAAAGTGTAATAGTACATAGGTATATGATCTATTAATATGATAGAAACAAGGAAGAATGGATACAGTGAGAAGATGAATTGTGGGAAATTAAGAACTACCAAGAGAGGAATACAAAAACAAAGAATGAAAGAATGAAATGAATATTTCCATCATTCCTTGTAATATCCTATCAAGTTTTATTCCTCGCTTTATTTTCATATTTGTCAGTCTTTAAAAAATATTCTTTCTAAATTTTATTCTACCCCTTTATTTCTCATCTTTTTTCTATCATGTAAATCTTTATTTCCTCCACTCTTTTCTTTATATCTTTATCACTGTTAAATCTGGCCAATGAATTCTTTCAATTCCCTTTTTATTAAATATTTGTTTTCTTTCATTCTTTGTTTATGTAATCCTCTCTTGTTAGTTCTTAATTTCCCACAATTCATCTTCTCACTCTATCCATTATTCCTTGTTTCTATCAAATATACAGTTCATTTCCCTTGTAGTATTACACTTTCTCTAAAATCCACTTTAATCACCTAGTATTTTGTCTTTCCCAATGCCAGCCTTAATTCTAATCTTCTTATTTGTCTATCATTAAAAAAATAATAATCACAACTTCCAACTTCTTTTTTAAGAAAATTTCCCCACGCATCCCCTTTGAAGACATCATTGAATAAATGGCCCAGCGAGCCGCGACCTGAGTGTAAAAACAGTCACTAATTTGAAATAATATTTCCCCCCTTAAAAACCGATTTGAAGACACCATTTTGTTTAAATGGCCAAACGAGCCGCGACCTGAGTGTTTAGTACAAGCCATTAATATGGGATAGTGTAGAGATAGAATTTGTACACTTTTGTTTAATTAGAAATGCAGTAGTTTCTGCAGATTTAGTATAATTGTGGCAAAAAATAGAGGGGGAGTCAATGATCAGTGCCCCCTTTAAAAAGTAAACCGAATGTATGTTTGTTGTGAATTAATAAGAACAGATCTGAATATTATTCTCAGATTTCCCACATACATAAAATATGTCAATTTAGTGTTTAAGCACTAGACTATAGATGATGGTTGTAATGTGAATAATTAGTTGTGATGGGGGTCGGGGACCCAAAACCTTTTTTTTTTGTAATACCTTTGCAACAAAACAAATAAAAAGGGCTATAATAAAGGGTTGGTTCCAGTATAATCATATAAACCTACAATATTAATATGATTCACCTTACTTCTTGCTGATTCAATTTCATCCCTGGTCCCTTTTTTTGGGGGGGGGGGGGATTTGTGATGTCAGTGAGTTCTCCTTCATTCTTCATCATTGTTCAAAAGTTGGCTTCTCCAACAAATTTGTATTGCGTCAGATTTGTGTTAAATGTATAGCACACAACTAATGATGATGCTATGATAGGAATGTAAAAAACAGATATGCTGTGTAGCTTTTTTAACCTTAGGTACTGTTAAACTCTACGTAATTATGTTCATCAAACTAATATCTGGAATCTTTTACATCCATTTTGCCCCCAAATCAAACTCCATCATGTTAAATGGTATCTTTGGAATGTACTATTGTTACCACTGACAAATATTCATATATAATATTTGAGAAACTTGGAAAAATGGATATTATTAATTTTGTCAGACTGAAAAGGGAATTATCCCTCAAATACTAACGCATTCATATTTATATGTATCACATGATTTTACAACAAAAGAAAATAAAATGGTATATCAATCAGGACTTTCTAGCAAACTGTGTGGTGTGCTAGTACTCTACCTAGGGGCTGCTATTTTCTTAGAGAGCAGTAGTGACTCTTGACCTTCAGTTTCAGTTTAGTTTCATTTATTTCACACTAAATAATTTCGAAATTACATGTGAAAAAAGGAACTTAATCAAAAGCATATAGCTTGTAGAATTTAAGTTCCTCAAAATAATGTTGACACAGTGTCATTCATTATAAGGTAGAAGTATGATGATACAAAATCAGAGTATACAGATAAAACAATGAAATGATATGGATGATGGATGTAAGAAAGAAGAGAACTAGGAAGGGAAGGTAAAGCATGGGGGTCAGGAGAAGAATGAGGAGAGAGAAAAGGAAGTTTTTAGAATAGAATATTCAAGGTCGGGAGTCACAGTCCAGAAAAAAATAGTATACTTGTGCATTACATGTACAAATTTAATACTAACAATTTGATATGTTTTTTAAAGCTGCAACAGTTCTTAAGCTATTTGAGATTCGGATCAATGGTGCTTCAGTAGTTTGGTCCTGTGTATGAAATAGTTTTTATGGCGAAAACTGCCCTGGTTAGGGAGGATGATAGTTTGTACGTGTTGCATGTCGTGTTTGGTATGTGTGTAAAGCATCATTTTTTGTAAAGCGTTCAATTATGGCTGATGGGAGTATTGCTAAATAACATTTAATATTTTTTTTTGTTTAATATTCAAGGAGACTTTGTTTGCCTGGATCCAAGAGAGGGCTTTTGGCTTTCTTGCTGTGTGTTTACAGCAGTGGGCTCTTTTTTTCTTCATTTCTAGTTATGAGTTATGTTGTTCAAAGTTGTTACAGATGTTATCTTTTGTTTTCATTAATTGGTTGCTTAATTTCTTGTTATGGTTTGAGATGGGTTTTGTTTTTAGGTTTTAGAATTCTAGATTTTTTTTAGAATCCCTGGGGATTTTGCGGTAGTAAACCCCATTTATTAAAGTGGCAGAATTCATTTTATGCCTCAACCTTTCATATCATTTCAAACACACAAATATACTATACATGTGTATAAATTAAGGATGGCCGGCCAAGAATGAACAGTAATATGATCTGTTATTTTAACAAGACCTCAAAGAAATCATGAAATATGCGTAGGCTGAGTTGATCAATTCTCCAAGTAAATGATATCAATATCATCTATTTTGCCTTCGTTTGTATTCTAACCTCATTTTCTGTGGCAATGTCAACTTCACAATATTGCACCATTCTTTTACCCAGGTGATGTTAGAAATAATTCTTTATTCGTAATCACAATTATAAGACATTTTTCTACTACATGCATGTTTAATCTGTAGATTTTTGCAAATGTGGTGCAATGCCTGTGGTTCAGTTGTATTGATTGGTACTAATGCCCTTTTTATGTACACGTTCGGACTTAACTCCTAATTGCATATCATCGCTGGACGTGTTTAACTTGTCTCTTGTAAATTTCATGATTTGCATGTGCCTTTGAAGACTGTCAAATAATTGTATCGAAATAAAGTATATTTTACAGAAATTCAAAGAAGATAAACTATTGTTTATTACAATTGGCATTTATTTGATTCTATCTCGTCTTTTTCCTCTGTAGTACAATACACCTGCTGGTGTATGAGATATTTATAGAAATAACATGATAATTCTGTGATTTTTGTTTTCCCTCTTTAACATAAGTCATATTTTAAAATTAAGAAAGAAAATGATTTGCTAGATAATACTGCATAGTTTTAAAACTGTAATTATATCCAATTTTATAGTGGCAAGTATGTATATGTTTGCAGGAGGTGTGTTAAAGAATTTAATAGAATTCGAGGATGAAAGGAAAGAAAATATTCAGGGAAAGTGGTTTGATACCACATTGATCGAGGAATTGTTAAAACATGTTGAAAAAGATGACAGTTTCGTCCTTAAATTGAATGAAGATATAGTTAGAGAGAGAGAAAGAGAGGAGCACAGGAGAAAGTTTTGCAAACTTTTTGTGTGGTGGTGTCATTAAGTTCCGTTGGTACGTACAGTGGAATTATTAAAGTTTATTTCCTTCATTATATCTTTCCCAGCTTATCTATTAATAATTTCAACGTGTGCAAGCACTGTAACATCATTTGCGATATAGTGATTCCTTACAGTTAAAATAATGAAGACATATCAGTACGCAATATAGTACAAACAAGCTCAATCTTTATTTTGTTTATGTGTCTTCTTTCTTCAAAAGACATAAACGTTATTCACAAAACATAACATTTTCACAAGTCGATACGTCAAAATGCAAACATGTATAAGAAAAGAATAAATGTTACAAACATATTTTGATGATAGTAAGAGAACAAAAGGAATCTCATACAAAGAAGCAATGATATTAATCCAAACTCTATACCACTAGTGATAACGATTAATTTAAAAACATTTACAAATATGAATTGTATTCTTTCCTTGAATTGCCGAAATCATCCCCCTCCCCCGAAAACAAAAATAAAGAAATATAAATATCCCTATGATAGAATAATGGTTTTTATATACATGGGGGGGGGGGGGGGGGGGGCTAGAAAGAACGGAACACCTGGGATCTACAATTACAACTTCATCATTGACCTAATTCTTACTTCATTAAGAAGATCATTCTTTTTCGAAATGATAAAAAATGATGTCAAGATCATCAACTTTGAGTCATTATGTCATTGTAATTGGAAATATCCGGTTTTCTTTCTTTCTGAGCCACACAATATAGTGTGACAGTTCATGGGCAATCCCTTTAAATTACCTTGATCTCTTGACACTGATAAAAACTAAGCCAACATTTTTATTGAACCTGAGTATTTGTGGAACTGATGTTGGGATTCCTAGGATTACATTTGTAATGGCTTCCATCAGGGGCGGATCCACGTAGCGATTTTTCCGGCCCGGCCCCCCCCCCCAGCCCCCCAAAACGATAAAAAAAAATAGGATAATAACGTAAAGTTAACCTTTATAAAACAAAAAACAAAAGCGCCCCATTCCCCCCCCCCGCTTATTCGCCGGCCGGCTGAGACGGCACTAAATTTTGTATTAAGATTTGGCTACCCCCCCCCCCCCCCATTGACGCCGGCTGGATCCTCTGCAGGCGTGGATCCACGGGGGGGGGGGGGGGGTGACGGGTCAACAACAACAAAATCTCACGAATTAGGTCACACA